ACTTAATTGGCTGTATTGAACCATACTACAAATTAAGTCTTCTCTGTAATTTATTCTGTCAGACAGTACCCTCCAAACAGTTTGATACTTCATTTAAACATTGGTAAATGGCTCATGGAACTGCAAAGAAAAAAAAAAGACATTTAATGATGAAAAGAAACCCTCTGTTCACAGAATGAATCCTATTGGAATGTCATGAATTAACCCAGTTCATTCATTCAGGGAACATTTATTGAGCACCTACCTTGTGCAGCACTCATCTTAAGATGGGTTGGCTTGCCCTTCTTTATCTCTTGCCTCCCTGCCTTTCTCCTTCCATCTCTCCTCCAGTAATCATTATGTTGCATTTATTGTTCAAAAGGAACAATGTTAGGAGCTGGAGTAGGATTGAGGAGGGCCAGACATGGATCTGTCTTTGAAAATCTGATACTCCCAAAGTGGAGAGCAAACATGTGTGCAGATGCTCTTCACAGAGTCCTGTGCTCAGGACATTAATGGTCCATGTTTCCTTCCTAGAGTGCCCTTTCTTCCTTATTTTTCTGGGGAACTCCTCATTTATGTTTCAAGATTCAGTTCAAGGTCACCTTCTTCGTCAAGTCTTCCCTGATGCCCTTCCCTCATCCTGCTCCCATCCTGTGAAACACGCTGTGCATACCTTTAATGTAGAGCTCATCATAATATGCTGTGATTGTTGTTTCTTCACCTGCCTGTTTTATGGGAGTGTAAGCTCCTTGAGGAAGAGACCATGGTTTAATTATGGTTTAATTATGTACATAGATGTCGCATGGAACACGAGACCTAGAACATAGTAGGCATTCAATAAATGCACATGAATAACTGGATGAATGTACAGATGTGAAACAAAGCTGGGAAGTGCAAAGCGTACTATATAGAAGGATAAATGCAATGCAAGGGGATCTAGGGATGGCAAGTACTACTAATGGAAATGGTGGAGTCAGGGAAGGCTCCCTGGATGAGCAAAATGTTGACACAAGGCTTTGAAGCATACATATGGTGTAGTTATGTATATAGTATAATTGAAAAACTATATATGAAGCACAGAACAGGAGAGGAGGGCAATCAGCAGAAGAAAAAGAAATGAGCAATAGCACACAGGTGGGAAGTACAAAGTCTAAAGGCAAATGAAAAGCTCCTTAGGCTACTTGTAGTACAGGTTGCCTGAAGTTCATTTAAGGGAGGATAGTAACACTGGACTTAGGACACTGATGCTTAGATGATTCTTGGAATTCTTTAGTGTCAATTTTTATCCACAATGTAAGCAAGGAAGAGCAGGAGAAATAAACGAGGCTGTGGCAAAGAGACATAGTGTTTCTGAAGACTATTTTTGGAACAAATACATGTTTTAATTTTTGGTCATAACCTAATATCTAGAATAAATTTCTCTAAGACAACAACTGTTTTTAACAAGAAATGTGGAAGAGGGGTGACAAGAATTTGCCTTTCTTTTACCTTCCCTTCCACTCCAGCCCAGACTTCTCTGAATGCTCTCCCAACACTACCTCCTGAATACCCTGTCATGGTTCAGAATTCCCCACAGAAACACTCCTGAAATGAAGCAGCCCTTCTCCTGTGACCAAAGTACTCACCTTGCCTTTTAGCTTTGACTGCTGAACAGATATCACTCAAAGAAAAAGTCAACAGCATGTCCTTAAAGAGACTCTCAGGAACTGGATGTAAACTGTTCTAGGTCATACTGACTGACCCTTTTCTTTGAGATTCTGTAGCTGACCTTTACTCTACACCTTCTGATTCATGACAGTCTGACCTCATGTTTCTGCCAGAACCCCAGACAACCTCAGTTCTACCTCTTATCCACTTCTCCCTTTCTCTTGCTTCTGCATCCTAACTCATAAGGAAATCATCCTTTGGTTGTTGGATGAGGGAGACAGGGGATTAAGGAAAGGAGAGTTTCCTTCTATGTAATCCTGTTTCTTTTTCAATGCTTTGTTATTCTGAGTAGGAAAGAAGAGTCTTGGGTTTAGTACCAGTTCTCCAGTATAATCTTTTGCCCTCAGTCCCTTCATGAATAAACTCAGAGTTGAACTAAGTAATGTTTAAGGTTCCTTCTGACTCCAAGTGTCTTTGATTGTGCTGATTTAATCGACTTGAAGACATGGGGCAATTTTGAGGCTCAGTGAACAAGTATTTGCATGATGCTCTGAGTTGCTAAAATGAATGTGATAATACAACTGTGGGATTAGCCAAATTCTAATGGATTTGTATTTCCAAGTGTCTATATTATGTCTGCATGGTTAAGGCCGGGGAAAGTGAAGACATATTCCCTCACTGACTGTTAGTTTCCAAATGAATGAGACACTTTCAGAGCAATCCTTTTTAACATGTCATAAAATTAACTACAGGAAAAGATAATACTACAAATATCTTTAAGCACTTCATGCACGCACACACAGCTACACTTTGCAAGGCAATATTAGGTATCATCAGGCATTAAAAATGTTTTGATTTTAAAACACTTAATGAGGATTCCCAGATAAATTAAAACATCTCCATCTGCTGTCTTGCATGGTAGGTGATATTTTACCATTGCACAATCATCTCCAAATCTAATTCCACCAGGAAGACTTCTAATCGCAGTTTAATTTTAGAGCAATATTCTACTTGGCAATCAATAAAACACTGTCGTCAAACTTTGATTTAATGGGAGACTTGGATAACATTCTCCACATTATGCAGTGATAGAAATACATTCAGGAAAGGAAGAGAAGAAAAGAATGCCTTTGTCTCCCATTTTCCCCTGCTGCATATCATTCTAGCTTACAAAAGCATATAAATCAATACCCCAATGTTGTGTGAATATAAATCTCATCAATTTTACATCATTAACACCATGAAAAAGCTACTGCTCTTTGAGCAGTTTTCCCCTGCTAGCTAAATATGTCCTCTTGATAAAACAAGAGTAAATGGATCCTTATTATTTTACTAACAAGCACTTCTTCATCAACTTTATTTGTGTCAAAATTCATTAGAAGCATGTAGTGTCTTATTGCCACTTGAGGGACTAGGGTGACTGAGCAGTGACATAAACCTCCAAGAATGAGGTCAAGAGAACAGTGAGCAACTTGAACAGGATGTGAAGTCAAAGAGAGGGTTCTAAGAGTAGTCAGGGAAGTGAGTGAATGATCAGATCCTAGAAGGTTAAACCAAGGCAGAATGTTCTACTGCCCCAGATAGTAAGAATGCAGTGGACTGAGGAATGGCCATTTTGCAAAGGGTATACTCAAAAACTAAGGTGATAGACATCATGAGAGAGCCACTATGCCCACTGTGGCTTTTGAGGTCGGAGGTTCTAATAGTTTACAGGATATGGGGAGATAGAAGAAAACCATAGCATGTGTACTCCGGTGGTTCACAGTGCTTTCAGAACCAACTTCCCCCATGATAACATTTCTCCCACCCTCCCAAGATGAAGAACAAAGATTTTTGTCCCCTAGAAAACTGCATTTAAGTCATTTGTTTTCCTTTTCAGACTCTTTCAATAGTAACTAATGGCTCAAATATAAGATAAGGAATATAGCAATACTAAGCAGTTGTAATTCCAAATAAACTTATTTTCATGTATGTGGACAAAGAAATGTATAGACTTTTGAGGAATAAATATAAATTTTGGTTTTACCTTCTGAAATTTTGAAATTTGCTTGGAGCCTCTTTTATGACTTTTAATGATCCCTATAGATCCAGGACTTTTGAGTTACGAGCCTTAGCCCTGGCACACACCCATTTCATTTGCTAGGGGAATAAACTGGGCCTCAGCGGGAGCTTTATATTTACTAAATGGTTAGAATTTAAGCCTCTTGATGCCCAGTATAATGAGAAATCCCATTTTAAGGATTTTGAACTTACCACAAGTACCCAGTTGCATCTATAAGTCTTTACAGAGTACTGTTTAATGATGATTGCTATAAGTAGGTTTAGTGTAGGAAAATAACCAGAAAGATCATCATCACCTAATAGGGTGGTAAACATTATTTCTTGATGCTCAAATAATAAAGGCAGAAGTTTAATTTCAAAAGATTTTCAAATTACTGATCATCAATTCAAATTTACTTTAATTCAACAACTGTAGGTCAGGCACAGAGCAAGTTGCTAGGGTGACAGAAGTCAGGAAGACAGTCTGGTGGGGATGATGGACAAAGAATGAGGCAAATATGGCCAAGAAAGAAGATCTCTGAAGACAGGAATCCAGGCTGCTGTGTGCAAGCTTCTACCAGTAGTTTCAACATCACTAAAGTTCTGTAGAAACCCTGAAGAGGCAGGAAATACCCCTGCAAGGAAAGGAAGGCTAACTTTGTTGAGGGAGTACTTCAAGTCTGGGTGTTATTTCAAGTGGCCATTGAGAGAGAGATGGGACTTGGAGGGGTGGATAAGAAAAAACAGTAGGACCAACCCATGAAAAAAGCCTCAGAAATATATACAGCCTCACCTCTTACCCTTCAATGGTGACTTTGAACAAAATAGGGAAAGTCATTTACTTGCCATACAGTCTACCACCTGCCAGGAAAGTGCTCTACCCATGCAATACTTGGTCCTGAGTGTTAATGGCACCGGTCCCCGAGAGCCATTCAGGATGCCTCCTTCACCACAGCATGCAGAAGCCTGGGTGTGTAATTCTGTTAACAATTAAGCCCACGGTCGGACTGGGCTGTGTCATGGGGAGTGACTAAACAGAAGCACACTGGCTGAATTACACGAGTAGTTCTGGCAAGCAGAGTGAAGCCACCTCCACAGATGCTTTTTCAGCATATGAGCAGTCCTGTTTATTTCTCCGGTCTCAGCATTGAGACCATGGAAAGAACCTCCACTTTTCAAGGGCAGACACAGCTCTTTTTCCTTCCATCTGTACCAAACAGCTTTTCTAAAGCCTGCTAGGCCCTTCACAGATAGCTGAAACACATCTCTTATTGATCTGCAGCTCCAAGTAAACATTTCCTAAAACATGCTCTTCCTTTTGTCTCTGATAGGCCCTTCAGCATCATCATGCTGTTCATGAAATTTCCTACATAGCAAAGGACATCACAGATCACCGGGCCTTTGGATACGTTTGTGGGAAGGAAGGGAATCACAGATTTGTGGCCATAAAAACAGCCCAAGCGGTAAGTATTTGTTTCTAAGGAGGGTACCTTTCCTTGTAACTCTGGGAGACAGCCCCATCACTCTACTGATCGTCCAAGGCCAACTTCAATGTGTGACCACGTGGTGTGTCACCCCCAGCCCTGATGTGCAGATTCCAACCTAGAAAAGATAAGCAGCATTGGAGCAAGGAAACACTCTCATACTCATTCATGTATGTTTTGTTTTATTTTAAATGGGTATTTCCTAATGACTATTTATTTTCCTCTCCAATTAAATCTAGATAGAGACACATACATAACTAAGTTTCCTTGTGTTCATAGCCTCCTTTAAGAAGAAAATAAGAGAAAACAAATAGCTATTTCACATACAGCCCGCCCTAATTTTATTGTATTTGAAATCACTAATAAATAAAAGCAATGCCTTTTATGCTTATGATTATTATGAATTTGTAAATATAATTAGTTGAAGAAATGAACTTTAGCCTAGATGTAATTTGCTAAACCAATATAAACAAGGTAGAATTAATTAAGAATGGAATGCTTTCAGTTTAATAGAAAAAGGAAGGGCTGTTGGTTGAAATCACAAAAACAAAAATTGGTGGCTGCCATTCAGCACTGTTCCCTTATTAATGTGCCTGACTACCTTTCATTCCAGGCTGAACCTGTTATTCTGGACTTGAGAGATCTCTTTCAACTCATTTATGAATTGAAGCAGAGAGAAGAATTGGAAAAAAAGGCACAAAAGGATAAGCAGTGTGAACAAGCTGTGTACCAGGTATACCTGTAAATTTATCCTGGTGCTGGGCAAGATGGGGGCTTAAAATAAACAGATATGAAAACTGACAGGCAGGCCTCTCCTGCTACCAAGAAGAAATCAACAAAGATGAAAGGTTCCTCTGTAAATTACAGGCACCCAAAGCACGCTATTAGAAATGATCCCTTATTCTCTGCAACTCAAGCTACATTAGAGAAGCAAAATCTTTAATCCAGAGGAAGATTTCAGGGGAGGAAGACTAAAGTCCCACAATTGCTTTTGCTGTTGTTAACAATGGGTGTGGGAGGCTGGGGGATGGATGGCTGCAGGATTTTAGTTTTTCTGTTTCCTGCATTAATGATCCACCAGCATATCCTATCAGAGCTGGTTTCTCTACTGTCCTGTAACTTCTGAATGCAATCTCACATCTCTTCCTTTATATCCTCTGCTTTTCATCCTCGCTACTCTCACTGGGATAGACAATTTTGGAAGAGGATGTTGAAGATCCTGTATACCAGGTAATTTCTAAAATGAATCAGTGTTTTGGGGACAGCAATGGCTATGCCTAAAGTGGCGCCATTTTGACAGAAAATTGAAGAATCTGCTGACTGCAAGCCTGGAGAGGGACCAAGATTATTTCTGAGGGTGAGGGCTGCCAGCGCCCCCTGCCAGGAGCAAATTTCCATAACTAGTAACAGAAGTTTGGCCAGCACAAGTATCATGGGATTTGGAGATCCGCTTCTCCCTTCTTGCCTCTGCTTCAGCCTCCTCAATCTGTAAAAGTTTGATCCCAGAGCTGAATGTTTTTGAGAGTTTCTTGAATATTCTGAGTTCATTAGAGAAACGATGAATAATAAAGTGGTTTTTCTGCATTAAGAATTAGAGATGGGGGCTGACATTTTGGTGACATTTGAACACAAACTGAAAGAAAGGTTTGTGAGCTTTAGCAAGGCTTTAAGAAGTCTCTCTGACTCCCTATGGTGTAACCTGACCCTTGATTACCTTGCTCATGCCACAGGGGCTGTTGTGAGGATAGCAAAAGATCCCAGAGACATCTCTGCCTAGAGCTTTCTCTGCATCCTCTTCACAGTCTGCAGTCCACGTAGACATGGCCTCTCTTGGATTCAAGTTTTGAGCGCTTTGCAAACAGAGAGACAGAGAAAGCAAAGGACTGAATTCTTTCTCCCCTGTGTTTATTCCTAAGGAGAGGACGAAGACAGGAAAAAAAAATCCTGACTTTTTGAACGTAAAGGAAAAACTCCAACTTGTATTTCTGAGTCACATAGGTTTTCTATATGTGTTTTACCTACATATTTTACATTCGTGCACATTTGCACACAGAACGCTGCTACTGCCATGATGAAAGTAAATTAATAGAGATAACTCAAAGTGGAAGAAGTTATCTGATGTATATATCCCAAGCAAAAGTCAAGGATGCATTTAATGGCATACCCTTGCTTTTGAATGCTGAAGGGAGGGTAAGGAGTTGTTTCTAACATGAGATTCAGCACTCCCTTAACTGGCTTGCAAAGAATGGGGAATAGCCTTCTCTTGGAAACATGTGGGTTCTTTAGAGTCTAAGGCAAGCCCGTGGAAAAATAGATGTTCAGTAGTTGAGGATAGAGTGTAAAACAAGGTGATATTAATGGGATGCGAGAGTTTGGGGCTTCTGAGCTATTCAGAGTTGGCCTGAGTGCCAAAGAAGACAACTCAACAGCAAAGCCAACTTTATAAAGTTGGGTCCTTGGCATTCCCATGAAATAGCAGTAGCAGCATATTCAGCCATTACTGAGACAAAAAGCTATTCCATGAAGAGGTTATGTCTCTAGAAAGACCTACAGGGGCCCACTGCAATCAATGCCAACAGACTGGCCAGCAAACCTCTGCAAGCTTCCTTAGAAAGGCCAGAATGTGCAAGGCCCATTTTATTTCAGCCGTCCAGAAGTTTTTTCCTAGTTTTTTTTTTTGTGCCTACTTCTATAATGCTCACTGTGATTTGTATCTTGTATTCCAAATGCTTGTTTTCCTCTTTCTTTTTTCACCTCTGACCTTTCCTCTCTGGCTGCTCCTGTAATAGTACATTGTGTTTGAGGCTGGACATGAGCCAATCCGTGATCCTGAAACAGAAGAAAACATTTACCAGGTATAAAATTGCTTCCCTCTAACCATTGCACTACCATCAGTAAATGCATAAAATGCTGACAGATCTAAAGAACAAAGGGGTTTCTTGGTCATTCCAGGATTGTTGAGATAGCTTTGAATGCATTGGCTTCCAGTTCCCCAGCAATTTGCCACTAGTTTTCATGCCTTGTTGTTGAAATCCTTAATGGCCAGTTGGATATAGTATCTTAATTTTGAATAGATCAGAGCTATTTTAAGTAGAAGCAAAAATCAAATATTCTATTAAATACATTGGAGAGTTGCCCGCCATACAGTACGGTCTTTCAATTCTCAATAGAATATACTCATCAAATTTCTTTGAAAAACCAACTCTACTACAGAATATAAGGGACAAATTCAAAAATGTTATTTGAAAACAGCATTGAGAATATTTATAGAATAAAAGAAAGTATAGCTTAAGGCTTTATCCTTCCTAAAGGAAATGTACATTAATATTCTTAAATGTCTACTATGTAAAGAATACCAAATACACTTTTAAATTCATTTAATTCTCACAAATCTGCTATAAAGTGGGTATTTTAATCCTGTTTTATTGGGAGAAACTGAGGCTCTGAGAACTTCAGTTGTACAGCTACTTAGAGCCAAGACTCACAACCCAGGCATGTGGAAGGCAGAGCTCAGCCTCCTCTGAGGCTTCCTACCCAAGCTCTTGAGTAACTGCAGGCCAGCATAAAGCACATCAAATAAATATGACGACTTGCAATTTTTCACTAATTAGAATTTTAGTCTTAATTTAAAGCATAAATACTATGGGAGAAGGAACAAATTTAATGTATTTAATCAGTGATTTTCATTTCCTTAATTCACTTAATTGTGTGGTCTATTATTCTGCCTTGGGCATGTATTACTTATGAAATAAAAGGAAAACATATTTTCAATTTCTATCAAATGTGTAGAATTCTAAATGATCAAATATAATGTTATTTCTACCAACAGCCTGGTTTAAACCAGCCTTGTAGAATAATAATTTAACTATTTCTCTCCATTGGATCCATCTGGATTCTATTCAAATATGAAGTTGTGCTTTGAGGATTTGTTTATTCATTACTTACAAAGTTTCTGTCTTCAAAAAGAAAAGTTGCCGTTGTCTGCAGTCTCAGATTTTAAAGCACTGTACAACTGTGCAGTGCGTGACTATGGGTCCAAAGAGCAATAAACCCAGCATCCAAGGAAAAGAGAACACCTTTTAAATACAACCTGGCTTGGCAATAGAGGAGACCTCTGAATCAGCTTAGCTCCAGTTGGCACAGCTTCCCTGAGCCTCTTGGGGGACCACAGGGAAGTATCCTGCTGTGCTGGAAAGAGCTGGCCTGGATAGGTACAGAGCTGGGTTGCAGTTTTGACTCTATCACCACTTACCTTTAGATTGTAGTCTTTCAGACTCAGTTTCCCCAGTGATAAAGTAGGGGATTAGCTCTCCTTGACTCACATCTAATGACAAAGCTCATGTATGCAATGAAAAAAATGAGGGATAGCCTCAGGGCTGGCTGTGTGGACTCAGGACCTCAGTACAATACCAATTCAACCATTGATGCAACTTTTTCAAGTTCCTTTCTCTTTCTGGGCCTTGGCTTCCTCATCTGTAAAACGAGCACATAAGGTTTAAGAATCTGGGGAGGACACTTTTTTGCTCTTTGCCAATAATACCCAATATAGGACTCTGGTTCTTTGAGAGCACCCAGGCTGGCTTTACAAGGTAGCCGGACTTTTAGAAATGGGGTACATCTGTGTTGATTGTGGGTTGGTTCTGTGAATGGGGGGTTATATGCAACGTATCATTTCTCTCACTACACTCCCTGTGGCTTGAATCATTTTCTTACTCATAGAAAAGGAGAGCAAGGCTTACAGAGGTAAGTGACCTTGCAGTGTCACAGAGCTAGAGAGAGGTAGAATTCCCACAGGCAGATCTCTCTGACCTCTGTGAATAAACAAATAAATCTCAGAGCTGTTTTCAGCTCAGAGTCACCTGATTCTGGCTTTCACAGTTAGATTCTGTGCATGTTTTAAGTTACTAACTAAAAGATCACTCTTGTTTTAACAGCTCTGGCCTCCTGATCAGTCCATCTGTCCATCATCAACAAAAAGGCATCACTTAAGAGAATGAATATTTTATCCCATCTATTGGAAAGGCCTGGGGTTATGTTCCTCCCTACCCTGCCAATCTGCCTGCCCAATGTTCTTAAGGAGAGATAAGCTCAGGGGCTGAAGATAAGCAGGCCTTTTAAAATACTGCCTGTTAGAAGCATCGTTCCTCTGGTTTTTGAGAACTGGCGAATGCTACATAGCTATTCCTCCTGAGCCCACCACAACATTGCTTCTGCTTCAAGCTTGGCTCAGAGTGGTCCCATGTTTTATTCCCTTCCTGTTTTCTGGAAGGTGACAAACAGACCTGAGACCTAATCCTCTTACACTGTCTGTAACCTTGAATGAAGTACATCATTTTTTTGGCCTCAATTTTCTGAGTTATAAAATGGGGATAGTACAGTACCTGCTTCTGGAAGTGATGTGAGAAAATGCAAAGCAATGAGCTGGCACTTGACCCTCAGCAGCTTCTGCATAAACACTCCTTCTTTTATTTCCCATGTGACCAATATCAGGTGCCATGTACAATGTCATACAATGGTGTATTAAGTAGAACTCACCTCATCTTGTCAGAGAGCCTCTCAGAAAACTGTAGCATCCCTTGACTTTGCTATTTGTGTCCAAAGTGAGAATAAGTAGTCTTACTTCCCCAACTGTCTTAATAATCAATTGTCTTTTGCTTCATGTGCCTCAGAAAAAATTACTTGATTTAAAACAATACCTCAACAGTAAAAGCATTTTCACATATCACTCCTTTTTGACTGTTCCAGTAACTTGGTGAGGTAGGAAGAACAGCTACCATGACTATCATTTTTGACATTAAAAAAAAATGCAGGATCCTCTGATTCCAGTCCCATGTTCTTGAATACTTTAGCAAGCTTCCTACATGAGAGAGAGAGACCTCAGCTTTGCAAGTGGGCATTTCTCACATTCACTCGTTCAAAAATCATTGTTAATCACTCCACATGTGTCAAGTATCATTTTAAAATGGTAAGTCTAGATCTGTCACACTTGAACTGGCTATCCACACATAATTAACATGTTGCTGGAGTGTCTTCTGTGTATGGCACTTAAGGTATTTCTTTTTTATTTTTTTGGTACTGGGGCTTGAACTCAGGGCCTATACCTTGAGTCACTCCACCAGCCCTTTTTTGTGATGGGTTTTTTCAAGATAGGGGATCTCACAAACTATTTGTTGCAACTACAATCTTCCTGATCTCTGCCTCTTGAGTAGCTAGGATTACAGGCATGAGCCACTGGCGCCTGGCTAAGGTGTGGTTTTTTAAAGTAATTTAATGTCTATTAACTTATTCATTCAACAAAGTATTTATGAGCACCTGGAATGTGTCCGGGTTGTGGGAAAGTAGTAATGGTCCCTGTCCCTAAGGACTTTATAGACAAGTTCTTAGATGCTCATGACAACCAGATGAGGAAACTGAATTTCAGAGAGCAAAGTGACATCTCTGAGTCACACAACCTATAGCAGAACCAGGACTAGGAGCCAAGTCTTTGCACTCTCCTTTTAGTATGAAATTTTTATGACTGCAACATTTTGGTTCTGTAGTGATCTATATGTAGATGAAACAGACCAACATGCAGAGACTGGAGGTTGGGGGGTAGACAATAGCACCCACTGGTAAATGTTTGATGATTAGACATTTCTTTGTTTAACCAATGTTTGCAGATAGGAATACAAGAATAATAAAATATCTGTCAGACCCACCTGGAGCAAGTTTACAGAGCTGTGGGACTGCAGACCCATGAACAGTTACCATGTGATGTTATAACTCCCATGGAAAGAGAAAGCCTGTTTTATACTCTATTTTAGTAGCCTGATGCCAGTTCCATCTGCCAGCAAGATGTCTTGCTCACCATCCTTGTCCCAGGAAAGACATAGTGCATGACACAAAATAGGTACTTAGTAACTTTTAGTTTTTAATAAAAGGATGCATCTGAGGTCATGAGAGTACAGAGAAGGCTCCAAACCTGGCCTACAGGGGCAGGCAGGGCTTCCACAAAGATGTCTCAGCTGAGAGCAAGTTAAAGGACAAACAGGCAGATTGATACCTCACCCATGGGACAGCCAAGTAGAAAAGCATTTTCAATTATGCACACTTTGGGTTGTCCATCACATGACTTCTTCTCCATCTGCGGGGATAATTGAGAGGCAGCTGAGGTTCACCTGTGCTAAGTGCTGGTGGTGAGCAGTGAATTACAGGCAACTGAATGCTGTTCATTTTGCTCAGTAAAGGATGAGCCAGTAAAAACAAAAGTGAGGGCTGGTAATTTATTGGTCCTTGTTAACAAGGACTCTGTAGTCATTCCAAGAGGATTCCTTCTAAATGGAGCCCAGTTATCAGGAGCAAAGAAATTACATTCTTGGGTGTTTACCTGCAAATTGAGGTTTGCAGGATCAGCTCTGGAAGGGCATCTTCCACACAGCCATGTCACTCATAGTTCTATTTTCTACAAGAATGTGTGCCAGCCTCTGGGAATGTAGGATGTGATGTCAAAGAGAAAGACGCACCTGAAGCAGCTGTCTAGAGAATGTAGCAAATGGCAAACTGCCCAGGCTCCAGTTCCTGGCTGCCCTACTCACTTGACTGCTGGACACTCTCCAGGACTCATTTTCTTCCTCTCCAACACAGGGACAATTATAGTTTTGATAGATTTGTCTTGAGCATTACATGAGAATGCATGTAAAACACAAGTGTTCAGAACACCAGCTCATGGATAGAATAGTGCCTTGTCCGTGTTAGCTGGAACTATTCAGAGTAAGTGTCTTATCTGGTACCCAGAAAGAGATGGGTTTGAACCCCACCATCTTTGAAGCTTTGGGCAAAGTTCCTAACATCTCTGTGCCTTGCTTTCTCCAACTTCAAGTGGACACGATAATGACAAATCCTTATGGTTAGTGTAAGACTTTTAAGTTTAAATAAGAGTGAAAAAAATCACAACAGAATGGAAAGTATAAGCTTAAATTCTCTCTCTCTTAAAAGAATGGGATAGTCAGCCAGTCCATGCCTTAAATACCTCACTACCCCCCACATTCCTCCATAGTTTGTTTACCCCAGAGATATTTATGGAGTGTCTTCTGGGTGTGAGGTACTACACCTGCTCTTGAGGAGCACCCAGTTTGATAGAAACACAATCACATTGTCAGACCATTATAAATCTAGTACTGCTTTGTCCCTGGAGTGGAGGTGGAGACCATGCTGTAGCAGTTGCTGGGGAAGGAACAGCTGATGCATAATTCCAATCTGGAATGTTTCAGTGCAGAGCCCTTGATTGATTCATTAGAAAAGTATTCAACATACTACTGTTAATATATTAAATGTGTCCATATACATATATATATATATATATATATATATATATATATATATACACATACAATGTATCCATGTCAAAAGGAATCACCATTCTAACACATCACAATAATATGGTACGTAACAGTTTTTGTTTATCTAATATCCATTTTCTCATTGAGTTATAATGAGCTGAGAAAGAGGCATATCAGATAGTGCCCATTTGATAATGGCAAAACTCAGAGGAGCTAAGTAGCCTGCTCGTGACGTGACAATTCACAAGAGGCACCAGAAAACCAGATGCATGAGCAAAGGAGGGAGGGAGGTACTAATAGATGTTAAACAATCAGGACCTTCTGGATCCTAGTACCATGCTTTTCCTACCATTTCTGGGCCTTTTTTTTTTTTTTTTTATGGAAAGCCTTCAGTGATTATCACATGGCTAATACGTGACCCCAACAGAAGCTATATGTCTACTAGGATCTTGATATTTGCTGTATTTTCAATAACCCAGATCTCAGTCTTAGCATTAAGCAGTGTATGCTCAGCTATCAACTGTTTTTAATCACTTTGAGCAAATCATAATCTCTCCCTAAGTCTCAGTTTTGTCTTTAATGAAATGAGGATTTTTTTTTTCACCACCTGATGCCTGAGGTCTTTGCAGCTTCCTATTCTTCGAGTCTGTGAGAGGCCCAATGGCAGAGATGCCCTGCAGCCACTCATTACATTATGGCACCACAATTTTACTAAGGGATAGAGCCTAATTTGATGCTCTTACAGTCTCACAGAGCTGCTTCTTGGGGTTGGGCCCTAGACATGTTTTAGGGGCCAACCATTTCACATATGCAGCCAGCTTGCATAGAAGTCTGGCTTCTTCATTCTTTGAAAGTAGAGTACCAGTGTTTTAACTCTTGAACTTGATTTTTCATAGGTTCCCACCAGCCAAAAGAAGGAAGGTGTTTATGATGTGCCAAAAAGTCAACCTGTAAGTGTAAGTACATCTTTCCTGAAAGATTCATGTTGAGACTATGTCTGTGACCTGGGGAAGAAAGCTCCTCTGGAATGAGTACCGTATTGGCTTTGCTGGGGACTCTTCAGTGGGCTATGGGAAAAGGCATAAGGAAAGAATGGTGGGGCTGAGCAAGGGGAGCCAATCAGGATAGTTGTCTGCTCCCAGAATGGGAGTGATTGAATTGTGCAAACCACTCTGCCCAAGGGAGTCAGGGTCCCAGATATTCCATAGCAAAAGTCTACAGCCAAGGCTTTGTTATACCTGGTCAAGTACAGGACAGTGGTTTTGTTGTTGTTGTTGCTTATTCTGGGAAGAAAGCTATCCATCCAATTAGAAAGCTGTATCATAGTGATAAGGGAAGAAGGGCTGACCAGAGCCTCTGAGGTGTGTAAGGGTCCAGCCAGTTATCAGGGCCTTGTGGAAAAGGTCATGTGTAGCAGGCTTACAGAGGACCTGGAAGGTACACTACATTAAGGATAACAAGGTCTGATGCATCTGGTCCCTATCTGCTGTCTGCTGGTGAACTCCTAGGCATCTGAGTCAGAAATGAAAATCCTTAGCAATGTAATACTACCCCCATGCCACTGCTAGTCCCAAAATTCCTATGAATTCTAGAACTTAGAAGGCAACCTCTATACATCATGCAGGCAGCCTTGAGGACTAGCCTTCTCTCCAGGTTTCAATTGGCCCAGCCCCCATTACACAGCTCCCTTCAAGTCAATTTGTTCTGGATTGCCTCCCTTGCCCCTGACAGGTTTAGATTCGTGACGAAACATGCTCCATTTGCTGCCCTGGTTTTTCTGAATTTATTAACCATCCTAGTTGCACCATCGCCATACTTAATAGCTATAGGGAAAATCCCAGCTCCTTCATTTGACAGACAGGCTGCTAAAGGTCTCCCTTAACACACGGGTCTCATGTCCCCCTCTGGATCAGCCCTACAAACTCTGGCTTCCAGAGGAGCTGCATCCTCCCCACCTCTCTGTGTGGCCCTTTCCCAACACCCCAACTTAGCTTCAAGATTTGCGTCTCAGGGAGACTTCAGTGCTTCTGAGCTCAACAGCATCAACACATCACCCCTGCCTTTGTGACTCTGTATACTTTTTTCCTCTGCTAATAGCACTTCTTCTCCTCTACCTTAATGAACTTCTGAGGGCTTTGTATTTTCAGAAGTAAGCCCAGGGCCTAGTAAGTGGAGGCCAGCCACAATGCAGCTGTTCTGGGAATATTTTATATTCCCAGACCAATGACTACCTTGTGGAAGGAATATATGACAATTCCTGGTACTTTTTTTAAGGGAAATTACTGGGTTTTTTTTGACTTCAAAAAAAGTTGCTACCCAAAGTTTTGCTTGGGAAATGCCTGGACTGCCTGGTGTCCTGCCTGCCATTCCTAGAGTCCTACACCCATCCAATGTGAGGTTGACTTTACTGTTTTTTTCAACATTCCTAAAAGCCTAAGAGAGGCAGGAGATAAGAAGTTCAAGTTATAGTGTAGGAACATGCACCTGCATTGTAGAGACTACTGCTACTATGGAGTTTGGGCACATTTTGGTGTCCCTGAGTCCTAAGGTTTTCATCCACCCAAAGAGGTTTTTAAACCTAACTTGAGAAAATAGTTTGTGTGTGGAAACTTGATCCACTTGCCTAAGCCTCCCAGAAGCAGGTGAAATCTCCTGTGTCCCTCCATGTTCTGGAATCTTGCTGCCCTCCCGACTTCCCCTTGGAGCCCTTTCTCTCTGAGTGCACATTCCCTAGGGCTCCACTGTAGTCTGAGAATCCCTACCGTGATCTCCCTGTCTGCCCCTTTGTCACCTGCTGCTTATACCAGAATAACCAATGATATCCCCTCAAGTCCATGTAGGAGTTGTGGGATGTCAATAAGTTGCTCACAGAAGAGAAACTGGCCAGTGACCTATTGCTCTAGTTTCCACCTGGCTTCTTCTTTGGATCCAGGTCTGCTTGAAGCCTAGGTGAGAGACTCAGGTTGGAACTCTTCTTGGGGAAATCACCCATCAGCCCCAAAAGAAATGGTCTGATCCTCACAGTCCAATTAGGGTGTACCTGTCACCAGGGTCACTTACTGAGGGTCCCTGAGTAGCTTTTTGTATTTCTGATCCTCAAAGCCATCATCTGTAAAAGAAGAGTCATACCCACTGTTTAACTTTGTTTGGGAGATTAGAGGACCCATTTTTGTAAAACCCTTAACAGAGGATGTGAACTAAATTTAATGAGAACATTTCTATGTGTTGCTGTGCTCAGTAATGCTCCAGGAAACCATTTTCACTGACTGAACTGGGGATGTCAACTACTTTAAGTGATTGCACACCTCCCCCTGGGAAGTCTTTCTTACCCCAAACAGGGTAATCAATCTTTTGGAGTTCTACTGTACTTCTTTTTTAAATAATGACAATGGATTCTCATTTTCTCTTAATGTATCCATGTGAGCTATTGGACTTTGTTTTCCCCAAAATCCTTGGCTGAAATCATGTCATATACAGCTCTGAAACCCAGCACAGCATTGGAAATTTAGTTGCTATTGATCACAGAGGTAGTGTTCCAAGTTGTGGGAGAGATCTTAGTTCAAATTCTGGCATCATTAGCCAGCTACATGACCTTGAGTGAGTCCTTAGTCTATTCAGTCTTTACCCTTCTCATATACATAATGGTGATATGGATTCCAAATTCATTTAATTCTAAGAGTTTAATTAGATAAATCATTGTAAGCACCCAAGCGTCATCTATTGAGAGATGGTTCATAAATGTTGTTGATTGGCTTATTCACCAGAAGTGGTTGCCTTGACCGTCCCTCTTGCATGGTGAGTTTGTCAAGGACCGGAATCATGCTGTATTCATGTCCTGATTACCAGGGAAAATTGGCACAGAATAGTTGTAAATTAGTGACCGAAAGAATGAACAAAAATAAATGAATGAAGCAACAAATGAATGTCTTTAGATTCAAAACTCATCTATTGTCAGAATATTTCTTTTCCCTTCTGGGACCAAAGTCACCATGTCAAATTATGACATGCGTTTACCCTCATAGTAGCTCTCCCCAGCCCTTTTTGCACTGTGTTCAACAGCTAGTACCCTATTCTGCCTCCAACCTCCAGGAATATGCGTTGTTTTTCCTTCATAGCTTGGATCACCAAGCTAACAGATGGCCTTCTAAACACACACATGCGAAAAGCACACGCACACATGCACGCACACCTGCGTTTGCTCTCCTCCCACATCAGCAACTCTACATCAGGCAAAGCCAAAACATTTTGCTTGCTTGGCAGTGTTATTTTGGGGTTTTTGTTTTTCTCCTGCCTAGGGTTGGAGTTCCCTGCTGGAGCTTATGGAAACTGTTTAGAGTCATGAAGAGCCTTTAATTTTCCTGAAGAGAGGCCTGTGTGTTACAATCTGACAGAATTAAGAATCAGCACAGTCCCGTTCTCAGAAACCTCTGAAACTACTTATATGTCATTAAAGGTTGGAGAAGAGACCTGGGCCTGTTGATTTCACTGAATACTCATCTCTATAATTCCTGGCTTTTAGGAGTGTATCATTATACTTCTTCCTTTGTTTCAGATCATATAAAATTAGTGACAGCAATTACATAGTCTATTTCTCAAACCACACTTAGCTGCAGACTTTCTTTCCAAAACTTAACAGTTTATATAGCAATACAGTGTGAAATATGAAAGAGATAAAAGGAAAACTCCATTGAATCATCTGCATACTCACTACATGGTAGCTCCATGTTCTGAGCAAATTAAAGAAAAACAGCATCTGCCCCAAAACTGATGTTTCAAGGAGCATTGGCCAAGCAGATGTTCACGTGTGAACCCAAAAATTGGTGCTTTAGGGTCTTCAGACAACAATACATTAACATGTATTGTGAATAGAATATATATTTATGTATGAATATATAATATGAATATGAGTTGTGAATATATTATATGAATTGAACATTTCTAAATTTTCTTTAACCTAAAAATTTTTCTATACAATATCCAATACATGTTGGAGAATCATTTCATTAGAGACTGTTTGGAAAAAGACGTGTGTGCATGTGTGTGTGTGTTTGCACATTTACACTATTGATGAAAAACAATACATCCCAAAACTGAGTGACTTAAAACAACGGTGTTTAAATACTGTTTGTATTGCTCACAGATCTGTGGGTGGGCTCTGTAGTTCTTCTGGTATCTGCTGATTCTAGCTCTTTGACTCACAGGTCCAGAGTCACCTGTGGGTCAGGGTGGCAACTCTGACAGCATTCACTGGGCCTGATCATGGGTGTGGGGTTTGGTTGGCGATAGACTGTTCTAGGATGGCGTCAGATGGACCATAGCACTCTATTCCATGTATTGTCTCCTCCTTCAGAGGGCTAGCCAAGCTTTGATCACAGAGTAGTGGCAAGGTTTCCAGAGCACAAATGTAGGCACACAAATCCTGTCAAGTCCTAGGTTCGTCCCTTCTGTCACATTCCTTAGCCCAAGTAATTCATAAGTCTATCCCAGATTCAGAAAATAGGAAGGATATCCTACTACTTGGTGGAAAAGTTCCACTGTAGGAGGCCATAAATGCATGGAAATATGGGGGAGCGTGGCCTCTTATGCAATCCATGTACTGCAGTCTGTATAAATCACTACTGAATAATGATAATGAAGTGTTTGTTGTCTTTGTCTTTTGCCAGTGCTTAACTCAGGGCCTCACTAATGTTAAGAGATAATCAAGTGCTGAAATACAAAATACATTTTCTTCTTGGGCCTCACTGTTTGTTTCTTGTTGCCTTCCCTGAGTTTGGCTTTGTCTAAGGTGATTTTACCATTCTGTAGGCAGCCCATTTGGTAATCTGGCTTCTTGATGTTATGAACTTAATTTCCTGAATCTTTACTATTAAAAAGAGCCTCAGTAACCTCAGACCCATAGGTACCCTCCTTTCTCTCACCACAAACTCCTCTCCATCCTCCTCTCCCACTCCAATTA